ATTATCTTTGATATTTTCTCTCCGCATGCTAAAGCATGTAAAAACCAAAAATAGTAAAGCAATTGCTTGAGGACGGAAAAATGTAACAACTAATAGTTCTGTGCAAATGATAATCGGCAATATGTCTAATTTTCTTAAAGGAATTTTTTTACTACTGTAACCACTTCCTTTTTCAATATACGTTAAACCCCACACATTCACTGGTACCACATGATACAATGCAATAACGAATGGTACTCGCTGCAAAATGAAAAACAACAACAAAAGTTTGTTTAAAATGAGAAGCTGAAAAATAGACTTCTTGCAAAACTTGTCTAAAGTTATTCTTTCATTTATATGCCAACTCGGTGTGCGAATAATTTGCAACAGATAAAAGATCCAACCAAGGAAAGTTGCTGTAGTACTCAGCAGTAGTGAATTTTGATAGTAATTAAAGTAATAGTTTACACCTTCAATGGACTTTTTCATTATCACTTGACTAGCATTAATAGCTTCTTGGAAATTTTGTTCTTCAAAGTGCATTTCGATGCTACTTACATACGCAGCAATACCGACTAAATCTAAATCTTTATATGAATTCAGATATCTTGAAAATAATCCACGTTGATGTTCTAATAATAACTTCTTAAATTGTTCTATTAGCTGCAAAGCATTTGCATGTGTAGCATGTGCCTCATATTCAGCTGAAACATTTAAAAATCCTTGTGGCAAAGTACCAAAATTGTTAGTCGGTGGTGGCAAACCCAGCAAACTGGACATTATTGGAGTAAGTTGAGCTTGCTCTAATTCATGCAAAGGTAATGACTGATTTAGGCCTGCTTGAAACGATTTGGTTGACGATTTTCCTTTTCTGTCGATTCCTGCACCCCAAACAAAAAATGGTGTATCTGTTTCATAAGGGTCACCTGCACCATGAGAACCTTTAAAAAAATTCTTTTACGTATAGCAAAAAATTAGTTTTAACATTTGCATACCTGAATTTGTCATACCATGATCAGATGTAAGTAAATAAGTAGTTTTACCATCTGTAAAAACTGTTTCAAACTCTTTATAAATATTCCAAATACCAAGTTCAGTATGTTGTAAATTTTCTAAAAATAACCTAGAACCAGGTTTATGAACATGGCCAGCGGTATCAAGTCCCAGTAAATGCAAAAAGAATATTACTTGCTTTTCTTGTTGTAGTTCTTCACCTTTGTTTCGCAAAAACGCATGCACCCGTTTGAAAACCCATTCATCTAACTCATACGTTTTGTCACGACCAGAAAAATCTAAGTTATGATCATACGCTTCAAATAGCAAATTTTGACCCGTTCCGTTTAAACGTGAAAATATGTGTAGTACATCGTTTGCGCCCCAAGCAAACGTTTTCCCGCTTCGATGAAATACTGTATCAAAATCAATTGGATTTTCTTTCCAACCTTTAGTGACAGCCGATGGATCTTCATACAACCCCGCAATGAGTGCAATGTGACCTGGTCTAGATTCCGTTGGTACACGAGTGTGAGAGATGCCTACCTGTCCATTATGTTGCAACATCAATTCTAAAATATGCGGTATATCACTACAATTGTTTCTGTTAAAAAAAAAAAGAAATTTAAGCAAAAATAATTGTTATTTTTGTTCTGTCAATACCTAAAAAAGGATTCGGCTCGCAGTCCATCAGTCACAATTAACACTAATCTATTCGACGGTGGATCTAATTTTATAGCACTTTGTGGCTCAAGATTTGTTATGATAGGTGATCGAAAATAAATAACAAAAATTGAACCTAGTAAGAGAACGTGTACCCATATTGCATGAAAAATCCACATTTCCTCTGTTGCAGATAAAGAAAAATTGATGTTTTGTTTAGTCCGCTAAACTGTCAGCTGCTCTTCAATAATAATATTAGAAACCAGTGTTGTAAAATGTAATCGTGGATTTTAAATTGTCGTTTAATATTTTTTTAACGAAGATGAAGATAATTTGATCTATATAAATATTTTCCATTAAAATAACGAAATACATACAATGGCTTAACGCCAGGGACTATAATAGTTATGGCTTTATGGAAAACGTTAACTGAAAAATTTTATTATTCATCATTTATTATAAAATTAAAAAATAAGGCAAAATGTATAGATTCCTTTTGTGTGATAAAGTAATCGGTTGTTAATTATTCATTGTTGAAATCAAAGAATCAAATCTTTAGTTGAAATATATAAAAACCAAAATTAACTATTATTTCTATTAATTACCATTTATTAAATAAAGCTTTCGTATTTATCTTTCGTATTTATGCATTTTCGTATATATCTCGATAAATGTATAAAATTTTGTTCCATTTTCTATGCAAAATCCATACAGAATAGCGTGACAACCGAACAAATAATTTTTAACTGTCTTTAATCGGAGAGCGTATTATCGAGTTAATGAAATAGTGTAATATGACTCATGACTACAAGCTCTGATAAAAACAATAATAATAAACAACAACAGTATAGAAAGATTTTAAAAACTAATAAATTTTAAACCTTTCTATTAAAAAATGGGTGAATATTTTTTGTTAAATAATAAATGATATTGTATTATGATATTATATATATACATATATTTGTTCATCAAGTATATACTTTATTTATAAATAACAAATATTTCAATAAATTCTTACCATTACTTTGATGACTTGTTTGTTTTTGCAAAATTTCCATCATTTCCCTTTTGGGAAATATATTTTGCAATTTTGCATTTGATATTTTTAGTGTAATTTTCTTTAATATATTCTTAACGGTTAGTCAATTTTATTAGCGACCTAAATCAAATAATAGTGTCTGTTTTAATGAAGACAATGGGAATACACTATATAGCTAGTTTATCATTTCGTTCCAATATAATATAGCAAGTACATATAGCAAGTTCAATAACTTTCATCGACGAGTACTTCCTGACACTCCCCCGACGGTCCCTCACCCGGTTGCACAATCCTACCCCCTTCACCTACTCTCAATCTATCTGCACCACGCCCATGTTTTCTGGCTTAGATAAACCTAGACAATTAAGTATTAAGCCTCTCGCTCAAATTTCTCTCCCCTGATTGCCAAAATGAAGTTTCCACATAGCTGTGGAAATCTTCTCCATTCATTCGTAAGAGGTGGTTTTAGGGGGTTCAAATCTCACACTTTGACTTTTGACCTACCGCAAACAAAAAAAAAAGGTGATGAACTTATACAGAAAATTGACCAAATTCCAAGCTAGAAGGGTATGAATTAGCTCTGACTCTGACATTTAAATTTGGTAGGGTAGAAGTTCAACTCATGGTGCTTTCAATCTCAAAAATTATTCACGAATATTTTTGTATAAGTATTAGATCCAGAAAGGCTACTGACGATGGATACTTCGCAATATTTAAAAGAGTCATACAGCCAAATTTTAATTAATTAAAAATAAAAGTTTTGTTGTAAGTACCTACAGATATAAAACTTTCTTATTAAAAAATAGTTTTTTTTCGTTAAAATTGAATTAAAACACCAGAATATAATAAAAAAAAAATATTTTTAAAAACAAAAATAAAATTTTTAAATTAAATTATATTGTACAATTTCTAATTTCTAAGACTTTTTGCAATAATTTAATTAATCACTTTTGTATGGACTGTAAGGTATTTTTCGTCTTTTTTGTTTAATTGATCGGTGATCGGAAAAATAAGTTAAATGTAAGAAAATGATTATTAAAAAGTTATCTAATTTTAGAACTGTAGGAATAAATCTTCCTGAATAAGCCAAAAAAGCAGTTTCGATTCTACATTCTTCATAATAGTCGGCAGACGAATAATCGTGTTTCTAACAAGATGTATTTATAAAAATACTTAAATTGTATATAGGTATGATCTTGTGAATTCTTACATATTCATTATATACTGTATTACATATATGAACTCTTATTTCTATGACTGGATTTAATATAACGTTTAACCAAATACTTCCGAACTATCCTTTAAAGAGTCTATTGATCGTCGAATTGATTGTTAGATACTATGAACAAATTCATTTATTTTAGTAACTCTATTATTAATAGGAATATAACAAAACGAATAAAAATTAAACTTTAATTTAATAACGATTTTAGCTTTATTTATTAATCTCATACACATTAAATAAATATATATTTTGCTTTTATTGCTAATTTTAACAAATTTGTGAAAAAATAAATGATTTACTTTAGCGAGCTCCAGCAGTGATTAATTAACAGGTGCAGAATTACTAATCTTTTAAATGGTCGTTTTCTTATTCCGCATAAAATATTCGATATATATTTTTTTAGACTTTATTGTTTTAGAAGTGGTCCGAATATGTTATTATCATCAGCATTATTTTTTATTATAGCTTAGAAGGAGTTTCAGTTTTCTTAATCATTAATCTTATTCTTTTCTTAAATATTGTTTAGGGCATTATGTCAACGTGTTTAAGGCTTATTCTGATTCTGAAAGATTTAGATCCTAAAGATGGCATATCTCTTGAAATGGATTTAAAAATATGTGTTGAACATAACGTAGCAAGTTTTCATTAAATTGAATATTTTTCTTTCCGCGCCTACGAATTCTTTTGATATCATATTATGGAGGATGCTATCAAGTAAAAGTACATATATATTGATTAACTACTGAACACTTTTTTATAGTCTGCTTAAGGAAAAATGTTTGATCAATTAATAGAACTTTTATTTAAAAAAAATTCGGTATTAATCTCTCCGATAAGTTGAAAAATGTATCTTTTTTAGGCCTGCTTTTCTTGCAAGAATACTTGAAAAAAGTCTGTAACGAAAAGACGATTTACATTGAGTATTACCTTTTTCTTAAAAATAAGTATTACATTGGTCGATTCAGGTATATACTTTTCTCTCTAAATACATATTACTCGTATATACTTATAACCTCGTGTAAATTTATCATATTAAGTAATTTACAATTTGAATGCCTGATAAATATGGTATGCTATAATTAGATAGAATATAAAAGAAACCATTCGGTATTTCCAGTTTAATAAACTTGAAGCCACAGTAAGTTTCATAGTTTTACACAAGAAGTAGTTATTGTAAAATAGTATAACATAATGTATATTCTAATGATATTTGCGTTGAAGCAGTCCAACATTTAATTATACACATATGGTATATAATTAGTCAGAAATTTAGGATTTAGTATTATTTTAAGACCATCCGACTTTTATATTACTACTTCTTAGTTTAGACTAAAGCTCTTTTTCATGTCTATAAACATTTCATAAAAATGATTTTAATATCACTAAATTTGTTGTGCAGTTAACATAAGTATTCGGAGCCCCGAACTATAGTGTTTTAAAATTTATATAATTTATAGAAATTTTAATATTAATTGTATTAAAATTTAAATATTTGTAGGTTTTTTAATCCATTGCATTTTTGGTAATAGGGGCCAACGAAATTCAAGTCTATTTCCTTAGTATTTTATTTCTTTACGTTTTCTTGTGCATTTAGTATTTCAGCCTCTCGAGCCTTAGCTTCTTCACATTCTCGTTGTTTTTGTAGTTGTCTAAATTCTGTTGGAGTCAACATACCCCTTGAAATCGTATCATAACTCACACTAACCCCGTTGCCTATCATTTTTTGGTACAACTTCCAGCACTCACGTTCCTTAAAACTCTTTACATATGGTGGAAAATCATATTCAACAACTTGATTATTTTCTCCTGTATTTCCGTTGTTTTCCTTTCCACTTTGCTCTTTTGCACGTTCTAACTTACGTCTTCCAGTATCATTGACAGTTTTTCCTTTATTGAATGTGGTCATATTATCGGCATAATTAAGTTCATTTATAAATACGGGAACAGGTGGCGCTGTTGGAGGTCGGTTTGCACGTAATCGAGCTGCTAATGGTGCAATAGATCCTCTCCGTATCATTGAATATTCCTTCGTTGATAATTGTATATTATCTGTAAAATGTTCTTGAAATGATACTAAAAACATTTTTCTTTTTCAATAAATTGAATTTTACTTTAAAATTGTGTTAATTACCTGATTTGCCAGTTTTTCTTAATAGCGGAGCACGTCTAAGTGTGTTTTCATTTGATTTTCCACTAGCAGTCTGTAACAAATCATCATCATTTTCCGATTCGCTACCCTCAGAGCTCACTAAGGATACTAAAGTAACTAAATCTGGTGCTGCTACAGATCTTGAACGGGTTAAAAGTTTCTTTCCGCTACTATTATTTTCAGTATCTAATATAAAATCTTTAGTATTGTCTGATTTATCGCAACTAATATTTCTGCAGACTAATTTTCGACGTCGTGATTTCTTCTTATTCGCCGCGAATAGATTATTCTTAGAGTTTTCGTCAAGAGTGCGAACCGGCGCAGACATAGCACGTTGTAGTGGTGGCCGTTGACGTTGTATTGAAAGATATGGTGATGGAGTTAAAGTGTTTTCTAATTCCGCATTTGTTGTTAAAGGAGAAGTAGGACGATTTACTGATTGATTTCGGCTTGATTGAAATTGAGAACGTTTTGAAAAAGCATTATTCTGTATTGCATCTGATGACCCTTTCAATTGATTATTCAAAGCTTTGGTTCCAACAGAGTTTTCTAAGTTTTTTTGCCGTTGAGTTACTGATAGAGTACTTTTCTGGATTTAAATAATTGAATACATTGTTTAATACAATCAAATAATCAAATACAAATAATAAAGTTCATTACCTATTTAATAAGTAATGCAAAATATAAATAATATAATAAATAGATAAAAATATGTGTATATATATAATATAGATTCGAAAATAAACAGAATTGATTTAAAAGGAAAAAAAATTGACAAAAACCATTTATTTTATTTAAAATGGGGACAAGAAAGCCAGTCAAAAAGCTTGTCGAGTGAGTATTTTAAATGATCGTCTGGGATGATCTATGAGAATATCAGTACAAGTCTTTTTGTTGGCTTCTATTAGAATACAAAACATTCTTCTTTTATTTACAAAAACATTTTTCCAAAGAAGGTATTTTCCCATATGTTAATAACCAACCAACCTGTATTCTCGAAAGTCCTGTTTAATTTCGAACACTCTTTATTTATATTAAAAGTTATCCATTTTGACCAGCAATCTTACAGTACTGGATACTTTCGAGGCAATTTTCGAAGACTTTCTAACACATGCATATTAATAGCTCTGCCATTACTAAACAAGTGTTCTTTTTAAAGAGTCAAGAGGTTAGAATTTTTCGCATAAACATAATCCTTTACGAAGTCAATTAAAAAATACATGTGGTCATGGTGAAATTACTCGTTCGAGAAATTTTTCACGCAACAAAGCCTAAACTAAACGTATTGTTTGGCTTGTGGCACTAACATCTATATCTTTTACAAACATATCTTCACACCTACATGCCATATACTGACTTTTCTTGAGTATAATTGTCCTACACCATTGTCGATCTCTTGTTTGGACAAATTCACCAAGAGGACAATAAGCTTCGTTACTGGAAAAGTATTGAAGTAAAAAGTCGTCACCCTTTCTATAAGAAATTTTCATAATTTTAACGCAGACAACAGTTATTAAACGATCCATATTGTAAAATGCCAAACTTTCACATGACATATATATTTTGACATATATCACTGAAACAGTACTTCCAAATCAATACCAAGAAACGGATAACCCTTTATATATGTAGGTATGTATATATTCTTATGTTTTATTTATTCTTTAAAGTTCAATTATGTGTCTCTTTGAATCAACTTACATTAGGCGTCTCTGATGAACTTTCTATATCACTATAATTGGTCTCATATTCGGTTGCAACATTAAAATTCTGTGAGAGTAAAATATTCAGACTAATCTTATTAGCTGTGTGTGTTGTGCGGGAAGATTTCGTTATGCAGGGTTGTTCGTCTTTGGCCGGTAAATATTTATTTTCATGTCTAAAAAAATTATAGTATTATATACATAGATATATGAAATGCAATAAGGAGTAACTTAAAAAGTATATTAAATAGATAAAGTTGAAAAACTTGCTTTAAATCGCAGAATGGAAACGCAGTTATATATTTCAAAATCAATAATTTTAATATATAAACTTAAAAATTTAAAGCTTTAATGTTAATTATTAATTACATCATTTAATAAAATAATCAAGGCAGTGAAAATTTCTTTTAGTTTAAATATATTAGATAAAATTTTTCAAGATAAATTTATGTTTCAGAACCAACATTAAACCTACGTACATTTAATTTACCGTGTGCGAGTTCGTTAAATTGATGGTAAATTGAGGGAAATGGAAAATTATGTCGGTATGGCAGGGAATGTTGGTATTTACCAGAATTTTGAGTAGGGCAAATTAGATAAAAATTAGGTAAATTAGATATTAACATTGTGAAAATTTTATAAGATGTTTTATAAATAAATAAATAAATTTGAAAACTTTAAACCAAAAATAATAAATAAGTGCAATAAACAAATAAATAAATATTTAGGAAATTTCAATTCACTTTAACTCAATTTACCCGAATTCGCACATGGCCTTAGTCTTCTCTCTTGAAGATTAGTTATAAGTACTTATATTTCAAAACTGCTTAAAGACATCACAATATTATATTGCAAGCAAATGCCAAGTTAATAATAATTAATAATTTTTATTATACGGACCTTTATTTAAAAAAAAGGGGCTAGAAAGAATACTCTGTAAATTTATGGTTTGAATATTAAATATTCTTGTCATGAAGAAGAAGCAGCAGTCGGAGAGAAAAACATTAATGGAGTAACAACAATGATAAATAATTACTCATAAGTCAATACAAGCTTTGAGCTATAGCTGGACGGTCAGTCCGTTTTGAACATGAGAATCTAATCGTAAAAGCAGTCTTCTCGTAAAAGTACCATTTAATTGATCACAAATGAGTACAAATATTTTCTAGAGGACACCACCTCCCATAACAAATTTTTGCGGCAAAAAACTTCATAATATGTATATATAAAAAGTATTATGTTTTCCTCACTCTCTCTAATGGTTCCTAATGTCTACCGGAGTGTAATTTTGGAAACTGTGACATGCATGGCACTAACTATAGTGTTTGAGCACACTTAATTTATTATATGTTATATATGTCAAGCTTATTGAAAAAAAAAAATTAAATTATTGGAAAAAGTACTATCTCCTTGATATTTTCCTATTTGCATGAAGCATAGAACTTAGTTACGTGTATTTTTGTCAGGTAAAAGTTCAATGAACGAGTGCTTATTGAATGAGGTTAGTAAGACTAAATTTAGGATTGCAAAATAATTATTACAAATCGACTGAAATTAACTACTTTCATTTGTTTATAAAATATTTTCCATCACGGTAACAAAAATAAATGCAATCATGTCGTGTGTGCACGTCATGCAATCGAAATGGATAGACGAATTCATATATATTTCATATTAAGTGTGAAAAATATTTGTATTCAGTTTTTTTTCTATTATTCAGGACAAAATTTAAATTACATAAAATGTTATTGGGTGGCAGTACTTGATTTCCTAAAAAAGGATATTAAAAACCGCATATGAAGCAAATGAGTCGATACAGGTAAGTGATGCAAGTTATTACTTAGCTTCATCCTGGACTCGAACCAAAAGTGATATCGTGGTATACTGATGGTTCGAAAACCAAAGAAGGAGTTGGTGCTGGAATATTTGGTCCAAACACCAGAATCTCGCTCGCGCTGGGTCACTGTTTTCCAAGCAGGGGTTGAAAGGCGCCCGGATCTGTATTTATTCAGATAGTCAAGCAACAATCAAAGCGTTATGCTTCTGGAAGTTTTTCTCAAAACTTCTAGCAGACTGCAATGACACACTGCAGCAGCTGGCAAGCAATAATAAAGTGACACTGTACTGGGTGCCTGGTCACACAGGAATTAATGGTAATGAACCTGCCGATAGTCTTGCACGGGCAGGATCCGCCACTCTAATCTGTGGCTAAAGAGCTGGTTCTCCCCTATAGTTATAATAAGATATCCTCCTTTAGCAGAACAGAGTTGAGGTTGCTAGTGGGATATGTAACGGGTCACCATGGGTTACTTTACCACCTCAACAAAATGGGCCTATCCGAAGAAATAGATTGTATCCTCTGCTTGGAGGTAGAGGAGACAACCAGCCACATTCTATGTGACTGCCCAGCTTTGATCTGGGCCAGGAGGAGATCACTGGGTCGGGAATTGCTAGCAGCTTCCGACATTAGGAGGTCCTCAACAACCGACATTTTGGCGTTCATTCGAAAGGCGGAATGTCTTTTGTTCAGTTAGGGTCTGTTGTAGCACAAAAGATCAATCATGGTCGCGGTGCTGTGCTCAAATGGGAGTTTGTACCCTGTTCTTTCTTATTCTTATTCTTACTTAACTTCATTATTGTGAAATAGTAAGGGAAATCACATACATATATACAGTATAAACAAGAAACCTTGTGGAAAGGAAACTCAAAAATAGTACGATTTTCTCAATTAATGATAGAATATGCACGGTTAAACCGAAAGGCAAATTTCAAACACCAAATCTGTATTAGCACCAATTAAGGATATGCAAGACGAAGATTAATCCTCTACGAATGTTGTTCGTATATTAATGCAAAAAGGAGGCTACAATAACAAAATTTGTAGAGACGATTTTATTAATACACTGCTATCAAACACTTTTTTGCCCATATATCATATTACAATAGGCCCCGTGCGTCCAAATAAGTATTTCAACTACTCTGCTTGCCATATTAACATCACAGCCAAGTGATCAACTTTAGATCAGTAAGTAAGTCATATTTTAATAGCATCTTATTCAACATAAATTAATATGAGAAGAAGTATCAGAATTATTACCAATATTTTGTACGAACAGACGTCTATCGGTGATTTGCAATACTAAAAACAACAACTGCTTTTGATGTTTTCTTAACCTGCTGCAAATTGACGTTGTTATAGAAAGGGACAGTAAAGTCAGTATTGCTACGTATTACTAAACAACAAAGCCATTAGATATAGTTCTGCTGCAGTTGGTTCAGACTACTTGATATCGCTTATACATCATCGAAAAATGATCAAAATAATGATCGAAAATAATGGCACAAAGGTTTGTAAGCAAAGCATAATTTTTTCCACATCTATATAGACGGGTCTAAGACATGATCTAAACTAGGTTAAAATGAGTCGTACAAAGCGGCGAACATGCTTATTGTGAGGAAACAACTAACTGGAAATAAATTTTCTTGTATAAAGCCAAGCAACCATAACAGCAATATCTTCCAAATAGACAATAGACAGATTGATTCATGGGTATGTATGTAGATCAGGTTCTTGATCATAAAGCGTATAGAGAAATTAAGTAGTTGATAATATTGCTAAGATTGGGGTTAACTTTGCAGAGAATAAAATAAACGAGGCAGTTAGGCCTCTGCGAATTAAATATAGAAAACTAGACAAACTTATGATGAAAAAGGCGAATGATTTGTGACACATCGTAGGTACCATTATATAGCCGATATCACATGCTAATATTCGATGAAAAATACATTAAAATGATAAAATATCAACAGCAGTCACGATTTTGGGAAATGTAGGAAACTGGGCGTCAAGGGAGCATTTCAATTCTGGTATCACTAA